AACCGGATGAGACAAACATGCAGCATAATTACACACGATCGGAATGCGATTCATGTGCCAGAGATCGGGACATAAATTGACTGTTGAAAAACGAACATAGTTCAGCGCAACGAAACCATAGTACACTATTTCTACCAGAACTGTTGTTGTTGCCTTCGTGGACAGCTGATTGAACACGTGGATGAAGAGGACTTTAGTATACAATGTATATGTCTATGGGCAGTTCCTCAGTATGTTCGGGGGGGGGTGTGTGTCCAGGGTTGCGGCTGGNCACCCTTCTCTTGCATCCCGCGAACTTTTTTCTTTTACTTCCTTCTATTGAATATGCAATGATACAATTTTCAGGAGGGGGAAGCCAGATCTACTAGCGTACGTCTGTCTCTATGTTAACAGTAATCAGGGTGACATGTATTTGGTGTATTCGATATCTCGTCAACCCTTGATCGGAATTGTGTGGCACAGTAATATCCACATTTAGTCCATGAGGATCATGAAGTTTCTTGATAGCTTGAAACAAAAGACATCGTTTTTCATTTTAGCTTCCTTTTATTGAATACAAAGTGATAGAATTTTCAAGAAGAGTGAAGCGGTCAATAAAAGGGCTGCTATACAACAAAAAACGGGGAAAACCAGGCGGTGATGATGGGATTCGTAAAAAACATCCTCCGGGGTGATAAGTTGGTGACATTACCACCAGGCCACCACACATGGTTTTCTTTGTTCAGGGGGCACTTCTATACTTTGCACAACCGAGTGCGAACTGTAAGACCACCGTGTATTGGTCCTTAGTTGCCGATGGCTCGGTCGGGGCTCAATCACCAATTGAAAGATGTGGACGCAACCAAGAACCCGTGCATCCGTGTTAGTTGAATAGATTTCCTTCGCATTCATTGAACCACATAGTGGACCTTGTCATCACACTAATGAACAGTTGTCTTTGCATTTCGTGCATCAACTCGTCGAGGTTTTTAGGTTCATCTTTTGAGTGGATCACTGGGATGTGACCGCCACTGCATGCCTCAACTTCTTGTGGTTACAGGTGAGAATTGGGTAAGCGATGGCGAACAATGAGGTGAAAAATACCCCGATGGACACAACACGCCATCAGTTCAGGTGTTACTCTCATCGACTACCTCTGGCATCCCGCGAGTAGTTTCGGATGGCGGTTCCAATCAATAAATGTAAGTACCGACCCTTGATCTCCTTAGTATGATCGGAAACAATGATAAAACAAACGATAGTTTCAAAGGTTCACCGCCCTCCAGGTCCATGAGTGAATGCAAATGAAACAGAATTTGGAACACCAGCAATTTATTTGCCGATCCATTGAGATACTCACACCACTAAAACAATCCTCACAAAACAACCAGTTTGTACGGGACCACAAATAATGATGGAAAAATATCGACTAACCAGCACACCACCGTGCCAAGAGATTACATGATTGAAATCGTATGCATAAACTGTTACGAGTTGGTTCATTCAATAGTCCTGAGGGAATCTAGGCTAGTTTGATAAAAAAAATGGGGTGGGGTGGCATTAACATACGCAGAAACAGGAAGAAAGTTAGCTTGTTAGACTGATCGCAGGTTCTAGAAAGAGGTGAGTGAAATCAAAACTTTAGCGGAATTCGAACCCTGAAAATATTTATGTTGTAAAAGCGATTGTCCGGCGGCTCTGCATTCACATTGTGTCACTCCTTGTTTCAACTATTGGATTATGAATTTAGTGACGTCAAACTGGATATCTTTCTTGGAAGAGCATGTAGGTTGTTACGACTCAGTGGATGAGGTCGGAAATCGAACATATGACCAAATTTCTCGTTTGATCAACAAGTTAGGTATTTAATACTTGGATGAATAGTGGGGGAAGGGGGTGACGTATATGTACATCTTGGACAATTTTAAAAGATAATGAATTCATTTTATTAGTTCCATAACAATTGAATAACTGGCAATTATGGTGCTCTCGTGTACTTCATGTTCCTGAAAGAAATATATTTTGTGACAAACGAAAGGTATACCAACACTACTTTTTACCGGGCAGAGAAAGCACGAGATGTCTAAGGACAACCACATGAGGACATAAGGGAAAATGCCAAGCATCTGAATTGATGGATTACACCGGAAACAGAGGGGCAATAAAGCATTACACCTATTGGTAGAAGCGTGATTCTTCAGTGCTGACAAAAATGCGATTACACGAATAAGAGACAGTAACTACGGTGACAACGTACCGTCACAGTTAACCTTCGGGTGGGTGAGTGCGTCTTGTGGCGAATGCGTAATCCTAAAATAGCTACAAATTCACTGCCTGATTAACTTAACTGTGTACACATCCTGGATTCATTACCTATATTACTTTACGCATACCGTGGGAGCCATGTGATTTCTGCGCATAATCAACTATGGGGCAAATATCATACAACGTGGAGTTTGAAGGTTCAGAGAATGGTTATTTCACCGCAAGGCCTTACATGATTTTGAAGAGGAACTAGGCGATGGAATTAGGATAAAATCTACCCGGTTGAAATGGCCTTTCTTCGAGTGTTGGTAAACACGTGCACCTTGAGAAGGATGAAATGTACTATTTGTAAGGCGCGAATTGAATAATAGGAGTAAACCATGATTCCATTCTGCATGTTCACTGAGTTTGGCAAATGGTGTATAACAGTGCGATGCAACGACCGATCGGGAAGATG